AAAGGGATATAACTGCTGACCTCTGTGCTAGACTAAATGTAGAAAGGAGGTATTTTGCAGTAATTGGGATAGTAAATTGTTAAAAAGCTTATAGGCTAGTTCTGGAACCATAACCCTGGTCTGAGACCCAGTTGCTGTTTCTTGTTTTCTTTCTTTCTTTCTTTCTTTCTTNGATTGTAAGCCGCCCTGAGTCCCCTCAGGGAAAAGGGCGGCCTATAAATCTTAATAAAATGACTAAAAAAAATAAAAAATGAAAGAATTGGGAACAAGGGTGATTTGGCAGGGCAGGAATGATTGAGTTCCTTTTGGCTTACTCCACGGCATAACAAGGTACTGAAATAATTTTAAAAGCATTGTTTTGAGTACAGATAGTCTTTGGCTTACAACAGTTCATTTAGTGACCATTCAAAGTTACAACGGCACTGAAAAAATGGCACTGACTTACGACCAATTTTTCACACTACGACCATTGCAGCATCCCCATGGATTTACATAGGGATGCTTGGCAACTGGTTCATACTTATGATGGCTCTAATGTCCCTGGGTCACGTGATCCCCTTTTGCGAACTTCTGACAAGCAAAGTCAATGGGGAAGCCAGATTCACTTAACAACCAGGTTACTAAGTTAACAACCGCAGGGATTCACTTAAGAAATGCAGCAAGGAATGTTATCAAATGGGACAAAACACACGTAACAAATTTCTCACTTAGTAACATAAATGTTGGGCTCAATTGTGGTCCTAAGTTGAGAACTACTTGTAGATATCTAGATGCTTTGCGGAAATCCTTGACGTGAGTTAGAAAAATCTAACAAAGTTGCAGCCTGCAAACCCCAAGGTTGTGTCCTTATTCCTTCTGTGTGACTGTGGAGAGAAGAACAATTGAGCACAGAGCTCAGCAACCGTGAGGGAAAAAGAAAGCGAGCAGAGACCTGGGGAGATCGAGAGAATGTTTGGGGTCTCCTGACAAAAGATGTCCATGGTGGGTGTGACTGGTCGCCCACCATCCATCAGTCCCAAAGGGAGGCTGCTCTCTCCCCACCCCACTGCCAAGTGGCTTCCTCTCATCCCAAGCTCAGCCTTCCAGTCAAAGGGCTTCCCCCCAAAGCCCAGCCAAGAGCCACCCACCATTTTCATTGTCTACCAACGTGGCTGATGGAGTCAAAGTGGAACTCAGACACATTCTTGTCATTGGCAGCATCACTAAAGGCTGGTGCTTTGCTTTGCAGTATAGGTAGTCCTCAATTTACAACTATTTGTTGAATGATTGTTGGAAGTTACAACAGCCGTGAGAAAAGTGACTTGCGGCCTGTTCTTGAAGCTATGACTCTTGTACCATTCCACAGTCACATGAACAAGATTCGAGTACTTGGCAATCGCCTGACAATGGTTCAGCATCCTGCAGTCACATGATCAGGATTTGCAACCTTCCCAGCCAGCTCTCAACAAACAAAATCAATGGGAGCAGCAGAATTCAGTTAATGACCACAGTGATGAAGATGATGGTTACTAATCCCGTTAGAGACCAGACAGTGAATTGATTTCTACTCCACAATCTGCAGTCTTATCTGTGGAGATTCTTGGTCATCCAGGTCATGGTTGTCCCAAAGTTTCTTTTCCAAAAAGCAACTGGACTTTCTTTGTTTTTCCTGAAAGATGTTTGGATTTATATTCCCTGTAGTCTTCTGGTCATTAGCACACTAGGTTTATCTGTGCCCTCAGCCACCTGTATAGTGCAAATGGGTATAGAAGTGGCCTCAAGGACTCTGAGTGTTAACAATCAGGTGACTACAAGGAATTTAAATCCTTCCATTCTCCACCATTCAGTCCAAACTGAAGAAGCTTCTTGGATGAGAAGCAAAACGTCTTCAAGGAAAAACCAAGGAAGTCCAGTTGTCTTTCGAAGAAACAACTTTGGGACAATCTGCAATCTTGTTTGTTTAACCAAGATTCTTGCACGACTCTCAAAACATGACCTTATACATGACATATGCCAGAAACTGGCTCCTCCATATTTGTAAGATTATCCTATACAGTAGCTCTGGGTTGGGCTGAGCAGTTACTCTACAATACAGAAGTGTGGATAACAGAAATGTGCATAGAGCTGATTTGGCAGTCAGACCTGGCAGTTGCCCACGAGTCTGCTTCCATGTCTCCATTGGTGAAAAACTCTGAACCAGCCACAATGGGTTTCATGCCATGTAAAATGAGAAACATTAGGTCAAACATGGAGAACTTTTCCTCGTACAGGTAGTCCTCAGGTATGGCCACAAGTGAGTCCAAAGTTTTTGTTGCTAAGCAAGACATTTGTTAGGTAGGTTTTGTCCTATTTTATGACTTTTCTTGCCACCGTAGTCACTGTTAAGTGAATGATTGCAGTTCTTAAGTTAATGACATGGTTGTTAAGTGAACCATTGACTTTGCTTGTCAGAAGATTACAAAAGGGATCACGTGATTCCAGAGCACTGCAACAATCACAAGTCAGTTGCCAAGCATCAAATTTTCCATCCCTTTGAGCATGGAGGTTCTGCAATAGTCGCAAGTATGAAAAAATGGTCATGTCACTTTTTCAGTGCCATTGCAACTTTGAACAGTTGCTAAATGGACTGTTTTAAGTCAAGGACTTTCCTGTATGTTTCCAGGAAAGCAAACTCCATACTGCAGCCCCAGAGATTTTGCAGTCCTGCCTCTCTGCTCCTTCTGAATCTTAGACCCCCATTTCTATAACTAGAAAGAAAGCAGCCACAATCTGTTTCCACTTGATGGCAGGGGATGACTCTACTTGTGGAAACGCCATCTCAGACCTCTTGACACTTCTAATCCTGTTGCTTTTGAACCAGGGCTGATTCAGAATGAGAGCAGATCAATGGTTTGATGGGCTCAATTGATCTGGTGATGTTCTCTGTCTCCAGCAATGGCAATGGCGGGGACGATGATCTCTCTGAAGTTACTAACTCAGGCACACTTCCAAATGGCATCTCTTGCTAGTCTGTATCCAATAACTGAAACTCAGCATGGCTGAATGGGTCCCCTGTCAAGCTCTCCCCAACCATTCTACTTCATCTCTCTTGTTTCTACAGGGTGCCATTGCTGATCCAGTGCCTCAGTTTCCCAACTTTCTTTTTAAAACAAGCCAGTTCCCTGGCAACTAGAATCCATTTCCCCATTACTCTTGGTTCATTCACTGTTTCAGACATATTATCTTATTTAAATATTCCTAAAGAAAGAATATATGTCTTCGGTCTAAGGACATCAGGTTGGGGAAACCTGTTTAGAATAATGGCTCAATTGTTGCTGTCCTACTGTGTAGCTACCACACAGTAGTGGCTCTTGGCCCAGGATCCAGAGGTTACACTCATACTTAACAAAATAACAGAATTGGAAGAGAAGACCTTGGAGATCTTGTAGTCCAACCCCTTGCTCAAGCAGGAGACCCTATGCCACGTCTGGCAAGTGGTTCTTGAAAACCTCCTGTGATGGAGCACCCACAATTTCTGAAGGCAACTTGTTCCACTGATTACCGTATTTTTGGGAGTATAAGATGCACCAAGATTTTGAAGAGGCAAATTTTAAAAAAGGTTTTTGCACTCTGCAGACCTCCCCAAAATGGCCCGTTTTTTTGTCAAAAGAAGGGCATGCATAGCCTTTAGGAGGCTTGTAGAGTTTTTCGCTCCTTTTTGCCCTCCCCAGTCCTGAGGAGCACTCTACAAGCCTCCTAAAGGCTATGCACAACCATTTTTGCAAAGGGGGTGGGGTTTCGGGAGGCCAAAAATGCTGTATTCAGTGTATAAGACACACCCAGATTTTCACCCTCTTTTTTGGGGGAAAAAGGTGCATCTTATACTCCGATAAATGTGGTAACTCTTCTAATTGTCAGAAAATTTCTCCTTACTTCCAGGCTGCTTCTCTCCTTGATTAGTTTCCATCCATTGGTTCTTGTCTTGCCTTCAGGTGCTTTGGAGAATAGGTTGAGCCCCTCTTCTTTGTGGAAGCCCCTCAGATATTGGCTGTAGTGGTTTACTCAATAGAAGGCTGGTGGTCTTGTCTCCGCTACAATTAGCTTCTATCATCAAAGGTCAAGCAAAGTTTGGGAGCATAGGGGATCCAAAGTGAGAAAGGGCTGAACATTACTCACTTAGGATTGAGGCTACATTTCATGCCCATAATCCAGTATAGAAAAACATACATCAGTTCTGATACAGGCAATAGCACTTAGACTTATATACCGCTTCACAGTGCTGTCCAGCCCTCTCTAAGCGGTTTACAGAGTCAGCCTCTTGTCCCCAACCATCTGGGTTCTCATTTCACCGACCCTGAAAAGGATGGAACTTATGAACACAATTGGGACTGGAAAATTCATTGTTAAATGATATGGTTGTTAAGTGAGACATCATATGACCACACCGTTTTATGGCTTCTTTCATCACAATTGTTAAATGAATTGCCACAGTCATTAAGTGAGACATCAGGGAATTGCGATTGGCCTCCCCAGTGATTTTGCTTATGGGAAGCCCCCTGGGAAGGTGGCAAATGGTGTCCAGATGACCCAGATGCTGGAGCCACAGTTGCCAAGCAGCAGACTCACAACCCTGTGGCTGTGGGGATGGTCGTTAGTGCAAGACTGATCTTAAGCCGCTTTTTTCAATGCTGATATAACTTCAAACAGTCACTAAACAAACAGTCATAAATTGAGGACTACCTACACTTTTCACAGGCTCAAACCCAATTAACTCCCTGGTGAATTTCATTCATTCCATGTATGAATAACGAAACTCCAGATCATTTATAACATTTATGAGGTCAACTGTAATGAGAAACAAGTCATTTATTTCAAGTGTTTGGATGGCCACAGATAAACTATGGATTAGTCCTCTGAAATAATCAATTGTGAAATAAGGGAAAGAATTGGGTTGTTTTCTCTTCTACCCTTCAAAAGTTGTGCTGGTTGTTGCTATGGTGGAACAGGAAGGAAGGGAGGGAAGGAGGTTGGTTGGTTGGTTGGTTGGTTGGTTGGTTGGTTGGTTGGTTGGTTTTCCTCTTCTTCTCTTAAAAGGTTCTGCTGGTTGTTGCTATGGTGGAACAGGAAGGTCCTCCTCTACAGTAGGAGCTGATTGTCCAACAGAGAGACCACCAACCATCTCTCTTCTTGTCCTGCCAGTTTCCTAACTGTGTTTAAGGCATTTATATGTGCAGTTATTTTTTTTCCTTTAAAGGCCATACATAAACATACATTTGGCACCTAAACATTAGAGAAAACAGTTGTCTGACATATGGGGAAAGAATTAAGATGATGACTGAAGCCAAATGGGAGTGAACAGGTAGAGGTATTCCCGTTTGTCTCCTGCAGGTGAAGAAGCTGTAATTAATCCTGAGAATGAAGGCTTTCCTTTGGATTGGGGTCTCCAAACTTGGTAACTTTGAGTCTTGTGGATTTTGATTCCCAGAATTCCCCAGCCAGCATATGGCCAGGTTTGGAGACCTCTGGTCTAGTGAAAGGGCTTAACTCCCCAAATTCCCAGCCCTCCTAGTCTCATTTCTGAAAAGGGCTTCTTTCACCCCCAAAACAGTTGGCGAGGTGACCATCACTAGGCCCACATGGCTATTCTTGGCCTGCTGTGGCCCAGCCCGAACGGTCCCTTGGCAATTCATCAGAGCACGGTGGCAGTTTTGCCTTTGGAAGACAAGGCTTGCTTGAGCCTCCTCTTCAGTTCTTGCATGTTGGGCGATTTGGGCCGGATGAGATGGAGGCCCCTCCGCTTCTCCCCGTTGCAATTCCCAATGATCCGGCTCAGCTCTTGGCACAGCTGCTGAAAGGCCCCGTGAACCCCTTCGCAGTTCTCCCGCGCAGAGACCTCTGAGTACGGGCAGCCCAGCTCATTGGCAAGCTGGTGGCCCTCCTTTGTGGACACCTGCCTGGCTCGGAGCAGGTCCCCCTTGTTGGCCATTAGCAGCAAAGGGATGTTGGCGTTGGGGTGAATCTTCCGGATGTGCTGGTGCAACGGGCGGATGACGCGGTAGCTCTCATAGTCCGTGATGGAGTAGACGAAGACGAAGCCGTCGGCCCAATAAATGGAGCGGTTGATCTGCTCCTGGCAACAGATGGCGTCGTTCTCGTCCTGTCATCGAAAAATGGGAGGAAAGAGCTAAGTGCCAGTGGACAAAAGATCAAAACGAGAATCATACATTGAGCTTGGCCAGAGGCCATGAAAGGAATCAATGGCTGAGTCACTATAGGTAGTCCCTGACTTACAACTCTTCGTTTAGTCACTCTACAAAGTTACGACGGCACCGAAAAATGTGACTTAGGACCATTTTTCACACGATCATTACAGTATCCCTGTGGTCACCTGATCAAAATTCAGACATTTGTCGACGGACTCGTATTTATGACACCTGCCGCAGGTCCTGGGCTCATGGGACCACCTTTTGTGACCTTCTGACAAGCAAAGTCAACGGGGAAGCCAGATTCACTTTAACAACTGCAGGGATTCACTTAACAAATGTGGCAAGAAAGGTTGTAAAATAGGGCAAAACTCACTTCATAAACGTCTCACTTAACAACTGAAATTTGCGGTTCAGTTATGGTTGAGGGCTACCTGTATAACCCAGTCATCCACAAACTACGGTTGACAACCACAACTCACAGAACAAACCTAGCCCAGATGAAACAGATCAGTGTGTAGAGTAACACTGCAGATGGACCCAGCACAAGTCTCTTTCCTCTGACAGATGCGAGAATCTATGTGCTGGGAGGTTATCATAGCTCCATGAAGTTCAGACTATGCTTTGGCTGCATTTGACCTGATTTTTTGTTTTATTTCTGAACTTTGTAAACTTACAGTTGATGGCAGCCCCTAAAGCCCCGTTTCTCAACCTTGGCAACTTTAAAGTGTGTGGTTGCTACATCTGTAGTGAGGAGGTTAAATCAATGGTGACAGGAAGCATCTCCGTGTCTGGAAGCTCAAACAGGACATGATGAACTTGATCAATGAGCCCCAAGGTTAGCAGGCCAGGGCTGTCTCCCAATCCAAACCCTTTGTGTAATTCCGCCAATTCATAGATTGGAAGGGACATTGGAGGTCTTCTAGTCCAACCCCAATAGCAATAGCAGTAGACTTATATACCGCTTCATAGGNGTGTGGCCTGCTTTCCGGGTCCACTGGTGAAACCTCTTCTAACCGGTTCGGTAGATTTGACGAACCGGTTCTACCGAATAGGTGCGAACTGGTAGAAACCCACCTCTGATGTGTATGTATATACATACTATACATTGTATGTATTACATACATACAATGTATACTACGTATATACATACATACAGACATACATACTATACATACACACACACACACACACACACACTCACTAAAATATTTCTTGTTGACAATATTTTGGCCATCACGGCATATATCATCTGTGATGTTAATACACTAAGCCATAATTTACTCAACCCTATTTGGGGGTTTGCATGACACTCAGAATCATAATTGATAACAATGATGGACTGGATTCACTTGGTTACATTATATAGTTCAGGGATTCAAAGCTGAACACATGTTTACACTTCTGTTTCTGCATAGGAAGCAGTCAATTTTTTAGTCAGATAATTGGCCGTACTATCTCTTGGATCATTACTGCAGAAGTATCTGGACATTTGCAATTTGGAAAGTATTCTCAACATGCTTTAAGAATTCCACGCACCCCTCGTTTTAAGAACCCTTCAATCCCCCCCTCCCCGAGTAATTAGCAAGTCCCAGTATAGAGAGTACAGTTGAATATATAGCATAAAACATTATGGAAAAATGCCAAGCATCAAAACTAATTTTTAAAAAATGTTTTAAGAGCCTGTGCTTGCTAACTGGCAAGGAAGCGAAACTGGAGCAGGAAATATGGGTAAATAGGAATAGAGAATTGTGACCATACTACTCTGAAATGTTATTTTCCTTTCAAGGCTGATTTTTTTCCCCATAATTACTTTTCCCATTTTGATTCCGGAGAAACTCCTTCTTAACTTAAGACAGTCCATTCTAACTACAGGAGCTAAGGGTAGGATTTCACAGCTGTGTAGCCTAAACATAAGTTAGAGTGGTGAAATTCTGGGCTGCAAAAAATTGGGAATACTAGATGGTAGAAAAATGATAGATTATAGAAGTCTCTAAACTTTTATCTGGGGGTGATTCAAATTTGATAGCCTCAAAAAGGCTAAAAGGACCTCAAAAATTAAGCAACAAACACATTCACTATCTGCTACCATGCTATAGCTATAGCTAGCTATCACTTTGGCTGGCATCAAAAATTCCTTCTGAAGGCCATCTGCTGTAAGACTTAATGTCAGGGCTGCTTCGCTCAGTAACCAAGAAAGAAACCACTCATTTCGCAGAATTAAGAGTACTTTTACTGATTATGAGTAGATAGTAGCTAGGCAAAGCAGGATCTGAGGCAAAAGCGCGCGTAATCATAGATATCAATATGTGGCCCATTCCCCTCCCCTTGGTAACCCTATCCCATAGTCCAATCCAAACACTCTACAGGTGTCATGTGGGAGACATTCTTCAAAAACCATCATCAGGTTGGTATGCCGGACAGTTGGCCTTGGCGGGACCCCCTCTTCCTGCCACATTAGCAGTAGATGGTGAGAACGTCTCCCTTCTTACAGTCACTCCTGCACAGAATACTTCCCTCACCCAATTACCATGCCCCCCCTCCACGATTCAATGGTAGCCGAAAAGCAAGCATCAAAACAGAGGCTGACAGAAACAGATATGGGTGATAGATGATAGATGATAGAGAAGAAAAGAAGGAATGAAGGAATGAAGGAATGAAGGAATGAAGGAATGAAGGAATGAAGGAAT